CCGCACCCCGAACGTGAGCTTTTGATCCCAATTTTTAAATTGATACATTGTAATATAAACCGCAGTTTAATAGGACTTTAACGGTAATTCTAGAAAATTGTTTATTTGATTGCAGTGCTGCGCAGTCTGAAAGTATGAACTTTGGATCAATGCGACGAGAAAACAAAGCTTACTCATACAAAGAACAACTCATGGAAATGGAACTTAGGAAGGTAAGAACTGGTGGCTTTTTCAGAAATTTTTCATTTTGTGTTGTTGGGTCTGTCAATAGAAAACTAATTGTACTGCATTGCCAGGATTCCTAATATCATATTTGCTCTACTAAAATCTCATATAAACATTTGCATGCTAGGTCATCCAAATATAACCTTTTTTGACCGTAGACACGTCAATATCATTTACTAATAACCACATGCACTAGTAATAGAGCAAACAAATTGTGTATATACTGTAAAATACTTTATTTTCGCTATTTCCGCTGAAGGAATGATTCAGTGAAAATAAAATCCAGCTAATATACTATTTTTTACTTTCAAGTCTTCAAAAATCAGTGAAATTTTACCACACAAAACACCCAAAAATTCGTTTTACAAAAGTCAATTCAAGCTGAAATAAAGTATTTCACAGTAGTTATTTGTAATTAGTTAATGCGACTACCCTATCCAACTGTCACCAAATTACACTAACTTCACTAACATTTGCCTCAGGCAAAACCTGTTTACAATATTTAATTTCTTGCAAGCTGCGTTTACTGAATCATTCTTCTGTCTTCACCTATTTGTGAAACAATTTCTTCTCCATGTAAGGAACTTGAAAAGAAAAAAGCTGCTAAGACAGGCAAAAAAGAACCACAGTTATCTAAGAAACAACAAGAGATCATGCAAGCAGAGCTTGAGAAAGAGTCAACCATTAGGAAAAAGATGAAAAAAGTAAGTCTTGTTATTCATTACTACATTCACTGGGTGTATGCAAAATAAACTGGTATTTTTCAGTATTGCTGTCAGCAGATGCCAGATAACTTCTTTGAACCTGTAATTAAGAGTCCTAAAATTAATTCTCTGATTTTGTAGCTAATTTTGTCGTCTTTGTTTCTTTCAGTTGGATGTACAGTTGTCTAATATCACACATATGTTGATGTGCAGTTCTGATGGTAATATGAAATCAATGAGGCAACATGTCCCCACTTTACTGAGGAGTCTACTCTCCTTAGTTTCGTCATTATTAGCAGCTCCTCATGTGACTAAAGTTTTTTTGCATCTTAGAAAATGTGCATTTGATTCAAATATGACTGATTTAGGTAAGTCTTGCTGCCTTTCACACGATTCTATACTATTCTTGAAGGCAGACATCCAGGCATTTTCACCGCCTGGCAACCATCACAAAGGCTGAAAATACTTTGGGATAGATATGCATCATGTGTAAATTTGCTTGCTCAAGATTTCTTTGACTTTAGCTGTTTTCACTGACTCTTCAACCGGTTTTCCACAGCTACGTGCACACTGCCCATAGAAATATATGTAAAGCATAATGACAACCAACTCATAATATATTTAATTAAATACACATATGTTAAGTAATGAAAAGTGCAGACAGAATATTTACTTTAAAATTTGTGGTTTCTATTAAGATGGTACAGAGGGGATACGGCTTCAAATACAGATTTTACGGTACTGCCTGCTGATAACAGTAGCATGTTTCTTTTGTAATGTGCTCCATGAAATGGTGAATTGATTTTTTAATAACTTGTACATTTTGTGTAAATAAAACTTACTTATTTGTACACAGGCAATGTGGTTGCATACTCGACACTAAGACTTCACAGACCCCAGTGTGATATTGACAGTGAATGGTGTCAAGAAGATCTCATTACCCAGGCTACTAGAGTAGTAAACATGCTTTACAACACCACTGTACCTACAAAGAACACCCAAAGCTATGGTGTCACAAAGAAAGCTGAATCATTGCCGCCTGCTAGTTTCTCATACTGTTTTCCATTTTTGAGATGTGTTTTGAAAGATGGTGGCAAGGAAGTCCATGGTGATGATGTTGTCATGGAAATGGCTGTTGAAATCATCACTGTACATGCACAGTTGAGGTCACAATCATCAGTTGAGCAAGAACAAGTAGATGAGGTATGTTTTTAGCATTTGTTAACATTATTATAAATGACAATTTTGTTTTGTTTATCAGGACATTTTTTTGGAATAACCATATGTTCTTGATATTTGAAATATGATTTGTTGACCATTTTGATTGTAAAGGATGATGTTGGAGGGGACATGGTTTTAGTTGTGTGCGTTTTTATCTCTCAACTGAGGTTTGTTGAAACCTTTTCATATAAATATTGCAATACAGGAAGGACCTGACTTGTTGCCGAGGAGAGACATGTTACGATTGTTGACTCAATTGATAGCTACAAGTACACCAAAGTTACAACAGATGTCAAGCAAAGCACTGCTGGATGTTTGTATGTGTGCAAGTGGTTTAAATGGTTGTACTATAGCTGAACAAGAAGAGATAGATGTGTTATTAGATGTGCTACAGTCACCATGTAATCTGGTTAGAGAGGCTGCATTACAGGTATGTGTTGCTATGATACAAATTTTGAGATACTGTAAAATACTTTATTTTCTCTTGGAATTATTTTTTGCTATTTTTGCTGAAGGAGTGATTCAGTAAAAATAAAATCCAGCGAATATACCTTTTTATCTATATTTTACATTCAACTCACCAAAAATCAGTGAAAATAAATTCCATTCAAAATACTCCCAAAGTATTTTCAGCGAAAATTAATTTCAGTGAAAATAAATTATTTCACAGTAGTTGCCTGTATGGTGTAGAATAGGAGTGCATAGTAGTGTTGCCATCAAAACTCCATTTTCACTTGCATATAACATGGTTAAAATACTTTTAACAGTTTATTAATATTGGTTGCTAGGAACATTTGTGAGCTGCTGATTTAATGGTGTTTGTCAGGACATAATTTTGCAAAAATTGCTGTGATATGTCTTTGGGATCCAGGTGACATTTTAACAAATTTCATGATTTTCACTGACTTGCAAAATCCAAAAACATTTCTGTAAGTTAATTACAAACTTGTGCGACGTTGGAAAGTTTACACTTGCATATTGCTTCATTAAAAAAAGATATTTCCATCAAACAGCAAACAATGAATTAAGAAAACATAGATTAGGATGCACCATATTTTGTCTGAACAATTGTACAGCGTAATCCAGCATAACAAGATTTTTTCAAAACCACCATATATCTAAACTTGGCAGAGTAATGTGCCTAAATATGGCTTGTATTAGTAATACTGGTAAGTACTTAAAAAAAAAAAGTTTAAATGATACTCACTTTTAAAAGTCAAAGTTGATAGCCATTGAGAGTTAACTCATGCTTGGACTGTACTGTATCACTGTATTATTATTTAAGTATGAATAGGTTAAAAAATCATCCGTGTATTTGATATCCTCATAACATGAGATTTTATCCATTATACCAGGGTTTATTGGCTTTGACTCTGATTCTACCAACTACTGATGTCAATTATGAAGAGGCTATTAAATTAACTCAAAGAGTATGGGTGGCTAAACATGACACTGAAGAAGACAATGTCAAGTTGGCTGATAGGTAAGAATATAGATAATATTAAACTGTTGCACATGTGAATTACCAGACTCCCTAGACTCATTGAAAATTGCTACATGTATGATTTACCAGACTCCTTAGACTCATTGAAAACTGTTGCATGTATGATTTACCAGACTCCCTAGACTCATTGAAAATTGCTACATGTATGATTTACCAGACTCCTTAGACTCATTGAAAACTGTTGCATGTATGATTTACCAGACTCCTTAGACTCATTGAAAACTGTTGCATGTATGATTTACCAGACTCCTTAGACTCATTGAAAACTGTTGCATGTATGATTTACCAGACTCCTTAGACTCATTGAAAACTGTTGCATGTACAGTAGAACGTCGATTATCCGGACATCGAATATCCAAAATTTTCGGTTATCCGGACCTACTGTGTGTCCCCCAAAGTTTGTATGCAGGTCTGGCTGTGTTCCGTATAATACAAAAGTCAACTGTAACAATAAATACTACAGTCGTCTTGTGTGATTTCCTGGTGCAACACTTTCAATAAAGCTATTATCAACATGTAATCCAACGTCTTTCACATGTACGTTCATTGTTTACAGTGTCTGCGCAAACAATAAAACGAATTACAGTATCCAATAATTTCCTAAATTCAGACAAGCCTAATATTGTGTTCCACTGTAAATAAAAAATGTCCTAAAAACACAAACTTCATCAAATGTCTTCTCCACTGTTTACAGTCAAATCCTTAACTTTACCAAGTTGTAAGTCACCGCAGTTCGGTTACGTTTCCCGGGAAAATTGTACGGGGTTCCACTGCCGTCAAAGAAACGCGACAATGAGCCGATCCCATGTTTTTTTCCGATTTTTAATTTTAATGTCCAGTATCAGAAGTCGCATTCTTTTTGGAATAAAAAAGAAAAAATAACTTCTGGGATGTCTTGCCACAGAAGCGATGCCAGTTTAATAGTGCAGTGAAAAAGAGTGACGAAACGACAACTCCTTGGTGTGCCTCTTTGATGGTTTATCAACAGACAACGGCAACCAATGACCACAGTCGGCGGGCCGTTTGATGGTTCACAGCGTCGAAGTGTTTACGTCCGGTGATCACAGTAGCCAACCTGGATTTTTACAACAATTTATTATGTCAATCGTTCTAGGTGTTAAAAACTTTGCTGAATCCAATAAAATTGTTTCTTAGATTCAAGTGCAGGACTGAAACGAAGGATACATGTAATGAAAACAGCCAATGACTATCATTTAGAGAAATCCGTCTTCACTTGGTTCCGGGACTTGGTTTTCCCAAGAAAGAAGCAAAGGAACTTTATTATTGCTACATTTTACGGACATTTTGAAACATTTTTTAACATTCCAGCGTGCAACATTTTTATTACAATGTATTACTGATTAAATAAAAATGTTTTTAATGACGTACCAGGTATGTACGACCTAGAAATAGTGCCGTATGCGAGTACCAAGTTGCGAGTCGCAAGTAGCAAAATATGCCATATGCTAGTGGTAAAAACGGCATATGCGAGTGGTAAAATGTATCGTTTGCTAGTAGCAAAAAAGCCCTATGCGAGGGGTAATACAAAGGCTTGTAACGTTTGCTTATAATATAACAACGTACGTTCAATTGTGTTTTATCACAGTAAAATCAAATATTTACCATGGTTATGAAATGATGTGTACATGGTTGGTTACGATTGGCATGATGCTGTTAAGGTTTTTACTTTAGGGGTGATTCATATATAAAAATAATGGTAGCAAATAGGTGTCAACGCGATCTAGCCTAGGCGTCAACCGGCGCATGCCGCCCTGTACTCAACATTACAGTCGACTAGTGTACGCGGATTACATTGCGAAGGTCGCAAATAAAAGCAGCTTTAATTACTATTTCCAGCGCTTTTTGTTTATTATTCATTTAAGTGTTTATATCAAAAAGTTCGTTCAGTCGTTTGCATAGAATCGATGTTTGCTCTTCACGAAATTGCACAGGAAACGTGAAAGCACATTAATGTAATAAACGGCCATGACCAGCCAGCACACTCCGCATAACATGTGAAAATTGTTTTTCTTTCGGTAAAATTAGTATGAACACGTGGTCAGCGATTAAAGAATCATAGAATTATAATTGTAGTTAGTAAAAACGGGTGCATGTTCACCGAAGGGTCACAGAATTCTTGTGTCACGCGCCGCCGTTTAAATGAAGACAATGGCAGGTTTCAAAACATAACACTTTTTCTACTTGTACAAATAAAGTGGTTAGGTCGAAGTATTTGGGGCATTGAGGCTAAGTCTTCTATTAGCATTTACCCATGAAAATTGTCTCTCTATCCTGACCAAGCAACGGCAGATGCTTCTTTGTTTCAATTTTGTTTCAATTCAAATTTGATCCGGGTTGCGTGTAAATACATTCCACGTGTGAGGGACGTCTCGTAAACATGTGGACTTATCACTCAACATGCACTTTATTTCTTTATTATATACTATGTATTATGGAATTGTGTGCTAGTTAACACTTGGGTTGTGGCAAATTTAACACCTCTCCGAGGTGTGACTACTTTTGAAACCGTATTGCACTTCTATAGATTCTTTGTACTTGTTTTCATAGATTATTTTCTCATATTGGTTAAAATGTTGTAGGAAAAAAAATGTCTTCTTAAATAGTTTCTTTTTTCCACCTATTTCCCACTCATATCCTGTAATTCATGCAAATATGTCACATTCAAGTAATAAAACACTGATATATCTATTGTAACCATCCCAGACATGTTATGCGGTCACATATTAACCTTTTCACCACCAGTTCACAAAATAGTCCTGTTTATAGTCTGCACTTTCCTTCAGAAGATTGGGACAGAAATAGCCACATTTTTTGGGTAAAAACTTTTGTTAATATTGAAGAATTAAAAAAAAAAAGTGCAGAATAAATAGGGTGGGAAAAGTCTGATGCCGAGAAGGTTAATACCATCATATTCCCACAAATTTCATATACTCGTATATACAAGGTGCCTCTGTGTAATTTGAATTACTCATTTCAACAAAACATTTTATAGGTTATGGGATGAATGTGATATGGAACTGGATTCTGTGCTGTGTACAAAGTTAATCAAAGATATAGTCCACCATGAGAGTGTCATTAGAGAATCATCATCCTCTGCTCTGGCAAATGCTGTGGAAAAGTATCCAGACTGTGCATCAGATGTTTTGAAACAACTCTTTGATGTCTACCAAAAAAAACAAGTGGTAAGTTTCTAGAATGTTTTATCTGAGAGAGAAATATGTATAATAGTTTATTATTGGCTTGCCTGTATTGAGAATACCCTGTTTGTATTATTAGTCCCCGTTCGGACGAAGTCCGAAAACAGGGACTTATAATTCGGTCTCCGGCCCTGCGTCTGTGCGTCCGTCTGGAGTCATATCTCAGAATCCATTGGACCGATTCCGTTCATTCTTTGCATATGTCTAGTACTTTATGGTGGGACATATGCACATGCAGTGGTTTAGCGATTCGATTCAAAATGGCCGACTGGCAGCCATCTTGTTTTTTGAAAATGTTGTATTTTGGACATGCTTTGTCAGTTTTCATTCAAATTTAGTACATAGATCATACATGTTAGGATACATGTCCTGACCGTCCGTGAGTTCCTGTGTCCGTCCGTCCATGTGTCAGTCTGTCCATGTGTCAGTCTGTCCAGAATCCTGTTGACCGATTCCCTTCATTCTTTGCATGTGCCTAGCACCTTATGTGGGACATATGCACATGCAGTGGTTTAGCGATTCGATTCAAAATGGCCGACTGGCAGCCATCTTGTTTTTTGAAAATGTTGTATTTTGGACATGCTTTGTCAGTTGTCATTCAAACTTTGTACATAGATTATACATGTTAGGATGCATGTCCATGACAATTTGTTTCAAAATCTGGTCAAGGATGGCCGATTGACAGCCATCTGACTTTTTGGCCTACTATATTTCCACAATTTATGTACCATTTTCATTTGTATTTGGCACATACATCATACATATCAGTGAGTTTCATAATCAGATCAAAGATGGCCGAATAACGGCTGTTTTTATTTTTGGCCATATTACTACTACACAGAACACGTATTTTGATGTAAATAAACAATCTGTTGTATACACCACTTGGAAGTCAAGTTTCAAAAATACGCTCGTGACAACCCCTCTGCTTTAATATGACAAGCACAAAGGGGCCTTTCAAAACTTTAACGGGGACTGTGTCATTTTCAATGACTTGTTTGAACTATGAATGAAATTCTCATGAATCCATCTGATGTGTAGCTATCTTACCCATGTTTACTATTTGGAATAACCCTAATTGATGTATCCCATCATGCTTTATAATGATAATATTTTTGATTTCAGTGTGAACAATAAAATGTTTCGAAAACATGCAATGTTCTACAAATGTTTCAGTTTTAGTAGTTAGATTTCGTTTGGATTTTGTTAACCAATTTTAAAGTGCCTGTGAAATTGCTGCTATTTTCATGCCTAAAATTATCCATTGATACATAAATATTATCAATTTTTATGTTTCTAAGCATGAATTATTTTTTTTAAGTCAAAAAATGTGTTTTAAACTCAGTCTACGGCAACTTTATTTTTGTGTATTTTAAAACGAGGCTCCTCATTAGCTTCTCATTAGCTTACAGAAATTCCCCTTGTGACGTCAGAAGGGGAAGTCACATGGCAACTTGCATTGCCGATGCATGTAAATAAGGCACATTTCTTGTGCAGTTTTCTCGTCTTTGACTAAATTGTCACTTATGTACTTGTTCGTAGAGGAAGAATGGACCGTAATGAACACATAGTATCAATTTTTGTTGCATGGGGTTGAGTTAGATGCTAAATATGTCTGTTCTGGTGTAGCTGGTCACCGTAATCGTCACCGACACCGGCGCACGTTTGTACACTGTCGCTGTTTAATTGGATAACAAAAATAATCTAGATCGACACACATACAGATAAATTCTGAGTGGATTCGA